ACAGAGCCTGGAGCCTGTTTCAGATTCCGTGTCTCCCTCTCTCTGACCCTCCCCTGTTCATGCTCTGTCTCTCTCTGTCTCAAAAATAAATAAAAACGTTAAAAAAAATTTTAAAAAATTAAAAAAAATTAAAAAAAAATTTTTTTTAATTTTTAAATGTTATTCATTGTGGTAAAATACACATGACATAAAATCGAGCATCTTAACCATTTTTAGATGTTCTGCGCAGTGGCATTAAGCACATTCACACTGTCATGAGACCATCCTCACTGTCCTCTTTCAGAACTTTTCAGCTGCCCAAACCGAACCTCTGTCCCCGTGAGACCCTGACTCCCCATTTCCCTCTTTCCTACTGTTTTGTATGTTATTTTCATTTGTCAGGTCATCTCAACAAAGAAAGCCAAACCTCCCAGCAGTAAAAACCTGCAACGCGAACCCCCATTGCCTCGAACCTCCCAGAAGCAGGGACACAAGCCCAGGTGAAGACAAGCCCGTCTCAGCTCATCCCGCAGCTCCCCGGAGGGTGTGCTCTCGCTCACCGTCACAAGTAACAAGCTTGGATTTGGTCAGCCTCGGGTGTGTTCCTGACGGTCTTTGGGCTGGGGGGGCGCTGGTGTCCCTAAGGGCACCTCGGAGGTCTGCGAGCCCTGGAGTGACTTTCAGCAGTGCAGTGACTCAACGACCGAAGACGTTGGCTCGTCCTGCGTGGGGAGTGCTGAGAAGCAGACAAGCAGGAAAATTCTGGAAAATGATAATAATGAACATACTGCCTCCCATCCTCACTGCTGCTTTCTGAAGCCCCATTTTCCAGATGACAAAACTGAGGCTTTGAGAAGTCAAGTCACTTGCCTAGCTCTCTTGAGCTCTCCGGAGGCAGGATCCTCTGGCCTCACTCCCGCCCTTCTTCCCAGCTGCCCTCAGAGTGGCTGGGGACCATTGTGACAACGCTGGGTGAGGGAAGCTCTTTGGTCACAATGGGCAGAACTGGACCACGCGGGGACACAGCCTCGGAAGGAACATATGAGCATCTTCTGGGAGACCGGGGACACAGGGAGTCCAGAGGGTCAGGCCGGTGGCCAAGGGCATTTCCTAAGACTCATTAGTCCTCATGCCACCCTTTGAGGTACATCCCACATGCTCATCCCTGATGTGGAAACTGAAGCTCACAGGAACCTGACTGCTTGTTCCGAGGTGACCTTGATTTCAATTGTTAGATTCTCCGTAGACTATTGGAGACTTCTCAGCTCTCAACTATTTCAGGTGCCAAAATGATCAAAGAAGCAAACGGAGACTCTGAACATCTGTGGTTTGGTTAAAATGCTTGGCCCCTGTTTTCTAAATATTTTTTATTGTTGTTTTTAATGTTTATTTTTGAGAGAGGGAGAGACAGAGCGTGAGCAGAGGAGGGGCAGAGAGAGAGGGAGACACAGAATCCGAAGCGGGCTCCGGGCTCTGAGCTGTCAGCCCCGAGCCCGTGAGATCATGACCTGAGCCGAAGTCGGTTGCTTAACCGACTGAGCCGGCCAGGCGCCCCATGGGCCCTGTTTCCTAAAGAGGTCGACATGACCAGTTTTGAGCTGACTCGGTCTGGGCAGGGGGTGAGCCTGCGGTACCCCCCCCCCCCACTGGGACTGCTCTCAGAGGGGCTGGGAGCAGGGTCGGGGAGACTCCCCTGCTCAGAGCAAAGGCAAGAATGTCCCGGTCGGCTAAATGGGGGGCCGGGAGCCTGGAGCTGGAGGTCAGAGAAGTGGAGAGAGACGTCTATGCCTCTGAGAGTTTCAGGATAGGAAGAGATCCGGGAGAACAATCAGCACCCAGGACAATTGCAGAGGGCAGGAAGACCCACGGTGGGGGTGGGGGTGGGGGTGGTAGAGACTGTGGCCAGGACTGAGCAGAGATGGAAGATCCCACATACGGAGGGGAGGGCCCTGGCCTTGACCACTACCTGAGGGTGAGGAGAAGGGGCTCCCGTATCAAAGAGACTAGACTGCAGTGCTTGATTCTAGTCCTCCTTGTGGCCCGCCCTGCACTGGCCTTGGCACCTGCTGTTCCTTCCGCCTGGAATGTTACTCCCCC